AAAACAAATTCGTAACAGAGTCCCGTTTGTGTTGTGTTGGAATCTTTGTAAAACTTTTTTTTTCCAGCAGATATGTGTCGGCGATTAATCTTTTTGGAAATGTAAAAATTTGTGACTTAAATATTCTCTTTCGAGTAAAATTTATTTATGAAAATATTAGTGGTTTTTACAAAACAATAAGATTTTCTCAGATTTAAAAAAAAACAAAAAAAAACTATACATTAAAAAAGTTAATAATTAAGGAATTTGTACTAAATTTTTCATTTAAATTGGTTATTTCCCTGAATTTTGGCAAACGTGTTAGCCTAGCATGGTATGGATATGCTGACACAACGAAAAACCGCATCGGTTGTCACGGAAGTCAAATTGGGATCGAAAAGTCTGCTACTGGAACAAACTCAACCCAACGAGAACTAGAGGAAAACCGCGCTAAGGACAGTCCTCACTGAGGTCTTCTTTATTCATTAAAATAAAATCCTACAAAAAGAACAATAAATAAATGGTCTAGGAAAGTGTAAAATTTTATTATTACTTGTATTGAAGTAATGATAGCATTTTACACTGTTACAACGATAACAACGACCAAAGCCGCCTATAATATCTGGTGAGAAAAAACATCCCTCAAACTGACTAAACATTGATGCCAACGTAACATCAGAAAAAACTACCTGACATAGAACTAAATGCCAACAGCCCAGAGGAGACACACGTAGAGGATGAAATAGAAACCAGCTGTAATAATCCCTCTGAGATATACAAGCACATAGAGGAAGATAATTACGAATAGGAGAGAGAAACAAAGATGCCAAAATACATTCGATATAAATGAAAGAATGTAAAGGAAATGTTTTGAAGAAAGGCCAACAATTCCAAAAGTAAGAAAGAACCATCAAGTGAAGGAAATCATCAACCTCGCTAACCAGCAATTACAAAAATAAGGGACGAAATGGAAAAACCAATGAACCTAACAGAAATTAATCATCTTAGATACGCAGCCTCATTAACGATCGCAGAAACAATAGGTGAAAAAGTAAAAACACAACGTGAGCGAAAAAGAAAAATGACAGTCTGAAAAGAAAAAAATAGTAACCGAAATAAATAAACTACGAGGACAATTGTAACTTCTAAGTGAAGTAGACAAGAAGGGCTTCAAAATGAAAGAAAGAAAAGGGAGACAACTGAAAGGAAACCTTGACATAAATAATAAGTCTGACGTGGCAAAAGTTAAAGAGAATCTGAAACAACAAACTTAGTGATACCATGATATAATCATAAGCCCCCCCCCAAATACCCCAAATGGCTCAAGTGGGGAGTAACATACCTACTTCCAAAACAGAAGAGACGAAGATCCCGAAGAACTATAGGCCCATCACCTGCCTACCAACAATGTACAAGATTCTCACTACTATCATAAGCGAGAGGTCATACAATTTCCTTGAGAAAAACAATTTAAGTTACGGATACAAGAACTAATTATTAATAAAACATATTTGGAAGAGATGAAAACAAGGAAAAAACTTATCGATAGCATGGATCGACTACAGGATGGCGTTCGACAGTGTACCACACTCATGGATAGAGAAAAGCTTAAAAATATACAGAATATGCCACACAACGGTCAAATTCATAACGGAGATCATGAGAAACTGGAAGACTACATTAAACTTAAACCATACAAACGAGTCATTAACATTGAGACCGATCAACATCAAAAGTAAGATCTTCCAAGGAGATTCATTGTCACCGCTACTGCCTTGCATTAGCACCACGCAGCTGCCTACTGAACAACAGTAATTACGGATACAAGTCACAGATTGGCAAACTGAATCACCTGTTCTGTATTGAATGGCAAACTGAATCACCTATTGTATACTGATGATCTTAAGATATTTGTCCATGTTGTAGAGTAGTTTTCACAGTGGAGGCTTATATTTCGCTAAGTCGGTCCTAAAAGGGTCCGACGTACAAAACGTTAGGAACTTGCAATAATAGTTAATGACGCAGCAATCTAGTTGTGGTCGTTGATACTTCAATGTCCGACATCGACTGATTCACTCAACTCCACTGAGCCCAACTGGTGACCGCAACTTCTACTACTACTTATTATCTGTGGGAGAGTCTATTTACAATAGAATAGGTAATGTTCCGGTATAACAGTCAACGATGACAATCAGCAGATAAAACTTACTCAACATTGTCAAAACCTTCAGCGTATACATTAGGATGGAGTTCGAAATCAACAAATTTGCCAAAGTCACCTTCAAAGGCAGTAAATGACAGATTTAGACCTTGATATCAACAACAAGATTAAGGAACTAGACCAAGGCGGTAGATACAAATACTTAGGAATTAATGAAAGAGGCGAAATACAACATTCAATTATGAAGAAAAAGATCCGAAAAGAATATTATAGGATGGTACGTTTGATACTAGAAAGCGAACTTAAAGGGACCAATAAAATGAAGGCTCTCAACACCTTACCTATACACGTAGTAACATACAGCTTCAACATTATTAAATGGAAGTTGAATGACATTAAAAGACCAGAAAAATGCTTAGCCAAATAAGGATGCATCACCCGAAATCAGATGTTGGTAGGTTGTAGGTACCAAGAGCTTTAGGAGGCCGAAGTCTAATCTAACTAATTCTAAAACAACAATCGGATTGGAAGCATACCTAAAATAACAATGACTCTCTCCTACAAATAGTAAAATACCAAATCCACTCCATCAACAAATAAGCTGCACTCTTCAAGAAACAGCTTAATGTACCTGAAACCCTATCAGCAAAAAACGAAGCGAATAGCATCTACGCCAAACAAGTAAAACAGAAAGCAAAACAATTTTGCCAAATGAAATTACAAAAAAAAAAAAAAAAAAACTGGGTGGACAAGACGTTGCATGGCAAATACATAAAAAGAACGAAAGAAGCAGACGTGGCTGAGGAGCACACGGGGTTGAAAAGACCAAAACGTCGCAACTAGATCCTATCACTGTCACATAATCAAGAATGGAACTAACCCGAAATGCAGGATCTGCTGAATATATGATGAATCTATCTCAAGATGTCTAAAACTAGCAAAAAAAAAAAAAAAAATGAATATCTCCACAGGTAATATCGGTAGCGATATATGTTCGCTGGGAGATATGCAAGAAACACAAAATCGAAACCACTGCGAGATGGCATGATCACCAACCAGACACAGTTACCCAAAATAACGATGTAACTATTCTTTGGGAAATGCTAATTCAAACTGACAGGGAAATAAATGCAACAGACCTGATATTATCATAAAAGACAAGAAATTCAGGAAGCGTATGCTTATTGACATAGCAGTACCATCTGGGAGAAACATCTCCATAAAAATTATCGAGAAATTGTCCAAATACATGGACCTGAAGATTGAGATTAACAGGATGTGAGGAATGAAGACTGAGACTGTACCAATAGTAATCAGTGCTCTGAGTCTCGTGAATACAGGAATGGACAATTTTACTAACAGTCCCAGGTAACGTCAACATACAAATTGCCCAGAAGAACGCCCTACTAGGAACATCCCATATACTAAGAAAAGTTATATCAAATGACAATTCTCCTATAGTGCAAGTATTCTTTTAGAATATACTGAATGAAATTTTGGATAAAAAATTCCTATCTGTTGAGGAAAAAACTTATGATACGCAGCCTAATGCAGATAAAAAATAACTACATCTAGAAATTCGGTATATCTTAGGTCTAAATGTATTTTCATAAATGAAGAAGTTTTCTTGAAGTTTTCATTTTAGCCTCAATTGAAAGCTAAAGGATTAAAGTTTCTAATTTCAAAAATCAAAATAATATACAAGCATTTCTTGACCACAGGGTCTTGTTATTCTCATGTCTCCATCGATATATCGACGGCCAAAGGTGTTGATAAGTTAAGTATGGTGGACCAGAATTTAGATAAATTTATGAATTCTGAGTAAAAATGGTTTGTTTTTGTTTTTAACTATTGGTAATTTTTAAAAATAAATAAGCAATTATCAAATACTTTATTGAATTTCTTTAGGTACTTAAACTTACGATTGAAGATGCTTTCTAAAAATATAATAAAAGTTAGAATACTATAAAAATTTCTTAAATTAATAACATTTCATAAGTTACTGAGTTATCTCTAATTTTTTAATCCTTTTTACCACGTTTGAAATTTTGGTTAATGTTTTTTTTTATGTCAGCGGTGTACATATTTTATTTTTTGTTTCAAATCATAATAAATTTAATTTCAAATTTACTAATTTCTCTCAACGTTTTCATTAAGTTTCGAGCCTTTTTTCATCATGGTACGCTCTTTTTTTCAGCGAATTATTGGAGGTACATAGTTAAAAGGCTTAGAAGCGCTAAGAATAAGTTCAGTTCCGTGGCCCCACTTGTTTGGTCTTGTGCAAAACTAGATTATAGGCAACAAATATCAATTACTTATAATACCTAGTACAACTAGAAACAATCATTTCCCCCATAATTTTATCTTATATTCTCATAGATCAAGTCCTCAGGACGATGAACATTCGCCCCAAACTCGAAAAAGTTTTATCAAATTTTTATACAGGGGGTCCAGCCTGCTATGTAAATTGATCCCTCTACATAAGCCAAAACAAAAAAAATGCTCACATCGCGCGATCTACCAAAATCCAATATAAAATGCGACTATTTGTTACATTGTTGCAACACATGAAGTGTAGGCTCAACAACAATTTTTGTTTGTTTTTAATAGAAAATTTATTAAATAGTGATTATCTAAAAAAAAGTACGGTATTAATCATAGAGCGCAGGCGGTAGAAACAATTCTCACATATAGCTCTCAGAAATACCTGCCATATAATGCGGAGGCACCAATGTCTTACACTTATGTGGGATGGATTTCTGTCGCATCTTCTAGTTTTTCAACGAAATCCGATATTAATTATAAAAGTTAAAGTTAAAATCCGGAATTAAATATAGGTCATTATACCTGTAACTCATTAATGGTAATGGTGGCTAGCCCAATAGGAGTTCGAACGCTGTCGGAAGGCTGTATGTATGATGTAAGGTGTGTGGGGGGGGTAAGCACATGACAAGATGGAAAATAGCCCTATTAAAGAGAGAGAACGATAAAAGAACAAGAATTAAGAAGAGATTAGTTAACCGTTGACATTGCATTTAATTTTTTAAAGCTCAAACGACTTGGAAGCTAGATGCCGGAAGAGAGTTCCACAATCGAGACGTGCGAGAATATAAAATGTTAGATTAAAACTTACGGTTAAATCTAGGCAGTTCAACTGTAAAATGATGAGATCTTGTCGCCACTCTAGTATTGCGCTTAAATTCTAGGGACCATAAAGGATGTTTCATCGGAACTATTCTTTATGGTACCTTGATTCTTGACTTTTATTAACCTCCAGTAAACTCCAGAGATCAGTGCAACTATCCACCTTTCCCTTTTCTGCTCATATCGGCTACAAAGTAATTCTATATGGATTGATCTCCGATGTTTTGTGATATCGAATTTGATTATATTCCCGATGTCATCAGTTCATATTAATTAATCCATTTTCTTTGTTCTTGAGAATTGACAACAAAAATAATAAAAAAATATTTATTTATTAGATTGTTTACTGGAATGGTTTGTAGAATATCGACTAATTGCCAATTAAATCGAAATTTATAAAATGATAAATAATAAGGATTTTTTTTTGTTCAGCTATTTTAATAATTTAGTAAACATCTATAAATTTATGAATAAAAATTGTTTCTATATGTATTTATTAAGTGGTAAATGATAAATATTGCATTAGTTTTAATTCTATTAGTTTTTAGAATGTTGTAAATATAAAATTATTCTTGTAAATAAACACTAATTAATAAACGTAATATTCTTGTAAATTCTCACGAACAAAAAAATATATGAATTCACTTTCATATGTTTAGTTTCTACAGTGTAACCCGGATATAAGAAACCCGGATATAAGAGAAACCCGGATATAATAGAAATTTTCTCTGGTCCCAAGTTAGAGCCTGAGTATAATGTATATAAAATAGACCAAACCCGGATATAAGAGAATTCTTCTCCGGTCCCGACAACTCTCTTATATCCGGGTTACACTGTATTAACGATTCTAATCATCGCTTTTTAAAACAATAAACGGTGTCAAGGAGTGAAGGTAATTGAAATAATAGCGGTGTCAATGGAAAAAGCGTCCTTTTGATATTCCGTTCCTTTTGTGGACACGAAGGTCCAAGTTTGTACGAACTTCTTACTTTTTGGCCCGCGCGATCACCAAACCAATTCCTCATGTATTGAATACGTAATTTCTAAATGATAACGCTTTTAAAGCAATCTGTTTTTTTAGGGTTTAATATTAAGAAGTTGATTAAAAAAATAAAATTAAGAATAAAAAAGTTTCTTTTTTAACTTCATGCATTTTTTTAAAAATATATACTTTATATAAATTCGTTTGCTACGTGTATTTATATTTGTGTTGTATCAACATTGACAGACTTTCAGATTGATGAACAGATGTAGATATGTAGTTAGATATCTGTGAACAGATTCATCTTTCCAGCTATGAGCTAGGCAGGTAGAGGGAGAGAAAGAAAGACAGGCGGAGACCAGAATAGATTTAAAGAAGGACAAATACTAAAGAACTTTCTGCGCGGAATTGTAAGTGAGAGAATAAAAATGCAAACGAAATATTGCTATGTAACGAATAGCGATGGGAGAAGAAAGAAAACTTAATTTTTTTTTTTGCCGTTGATAATGTTTCTAACATACGATCAAGAAGTAAAGTGGATGATAGAAGCATGGGGACGAGGGTTGCTGAGTTTTCATTAACCTCTGTTTAAACCTCGAAAACGAAGAGGAGCTTTATTTATTTATTTTCCTCATATTGTCTTATGGAATAGAAATTAAGCGACGCAGATTTTGTTGTTTCGTTGACACGCGAGAAAGATTGATATTCTTCCTGAAAGAAGCCACATTTTAACAAAATGAGACTTTTGTATTTATAGACAATCTCTCTTTCTCTCTCTCTCTTCTTCTCTTTCTCTTTGTTTATGTACACACGCACGTATTTTATAAATGGAAACACACATATATACACAATTATATATATATATATATATGCAAATATATATATATATATATATATCTATAAATATCTATCTAAATCTTATCTATCTATCTATCTATCTATCTATCTATCTATCTATCTATCTCAGACTTATCTAGCTATCTATCTATCTATCTATCTATCTATCTATCTATCTATCTGAGTCTTATCTATCTATCTATCTATCTATCTATCTATCTATCTATCTATCTATCTATCTATCTATCTATGACAGCTTTTGATAAGTGTCTATGTTTCAAGATTATTGTAGAAAATGGCTTCACAGAAGGAAAAACATCAAGTAATGTCAGTCCACTTCGTGCATAAATCTACTCTAAATGTCTCCTTGCTCATTGTCTTACATGGTCAAGGGGACATTAGACATAACAGCATCCAGTTTCAACAAAAAGCGGAATTTGGTGTGTGTGTGTGTGTGTGTGTGTGAGAGAGAGAGAGAGAGAGAGAGTTTTACGAATTTAGACAAAAGATAATATGGGTACACATATAGGTTAAACAGATATGAAGACATAGATAGATAGATAGATAGATAGATAGATAGATAAATAGATAGATAGATAGATAGATAGATAGATAGATAGATACGATACGATACGATAAGAACAGTAGACAATGAGCTATCTATGTCTTCATATATGTCTAACCTGTTTTTCTCTGTTCCTATTGTTCTAAATATATCTTGTGAGTGTCAAACTTTATAAGCCCTATTTCTTCATCATGTACCCCTTAACCAGTTTAAAAGAAGGTAAAGAGAATTACCCAAACCGGGTGGTTAGCGTGAAAACTCGTGGGCGTCTAACGGAAAGAAAACACATACAGTAAAAACAAGCCTTCTCCAGAGTAAAATGGTTGGGTGTGTACCCCCTCTTGGAACAATTCGATTACAGAAACCGCACCAGAGGACTTATATACCACGAGACACCAACCAACCAGATACCATATATTCGAATAGACCTGTAAATGAAGTCTTTCAAAGCCTGTATCATACGTTTTCTTGCTCTTGCTCGGAGATATAGTAATGGTAATATTATTCGTTTCCTTATAAGGAAACATTCATAACGTAGATTTGTTTACTCGATTCCCCCACCCACTGTAAGTATCGTTACCAGATACATGCATACACAATATCTTTACATTCGCTTTTTCCAGTTACGACTCCATTTTTAAAGCTGATCGTTTTGTGTTCATTTTGTTTAGTTCTTTTTTTGTAACAGATTTAATGTTTAGTATAGAGCTTCGAAAAAAATCGCAGTGTGAGATAGGCAAGAAGTAAGGCATGTAGCAACATCAGCACGGCAAAGGACACTCCTTTAAAGGCAAGGAAGGGCAAAAATATTTTAAGTCAAGTGATAGCGATTGCTGTATCAGTCATTACAATTTTTGAATCAAGCACGGGCAATGCCGGGCCATTCTGCTAATATATATATATATATATATATATATATATATATATATAATTAGTCTATAAATATCTCTCTCAGTCTTATCTATCTACACCTACAGCTCTAATTCTAGAGCTGTAGGTAAAGAGGTGGATTCATACCTTTCCTTGATATAATTGCACGAAAGTGAATGTAACGGACTCGATTGGAATTCGAACCCGGTTCTCCGAGTTTTCTTTCTGAGTCGCTATCCATATGTATAAGGTTATTTTCCTTCTTCAATTAGTTCTAGAGATTTCTGATTATAACTTGAAAGGACAAATAAATGTTATATGATATTTCTTATATTTATAACAGTTGAAAAGCACTTGCCACATCGTTTATCAGTTTTTTTTTTAACCTTTCCAAAATGTTTTCATATTTGGTCATTGAAATACTACTCTGCTGCACTTATAACTTCCGAATAATTCGAAGACTTTCTCTATTTCAAACCCCTTTTAAGTTTTGTAAATAGGAAATAGATTAGAGAAGATCTTTTAAGATGAAGGGATGGTCCTCTTCTTTTATGTGCAATCTTCCTTTAGGATGTGGGCGATCGAGGTTCCTTACAGCGTCCTATTCTTTGTGACCTTCAAAGATGTTTGTCCCTTAACTAACCCTTCCAGTACTTGTCATACATTTACGCAAGCCGGTTTGGTAAGTTACTAGATACAACAATCTACTCATTTTGCCTTTAGTAAGGTGATTTTCTAAGCGTAACTTAGATGTGGCACAAGGCTGAAGGTCTGGGGCACCCACTCACTGCTCAGTCGTAATTGTTCTAGCGAGAGAGTAAGTGAGAGAGTAAGTCTATTCGTATATAAACTATATATGTACCTGTATTATTTTTTGTCTAAATTCGTAAAAACTCTCCAAGTTTCTAATCTATCTTAGACATTTCCTAGACAACTGGTGTAACTGACCCAACACTGCCTGTCTGCCTGCCTGCCTGCCTGCCTGCCTGCCTATCTATCTATCTATCTATCTATCTATCTATTCTATCTATCTATCTATCATATTTGGTCATTGAAATACTACTCCGCTGTTCTTATCGTATCGTATCGTATCGTATCTATCTATCTATCTATCTATCTATATTTAGGACAACAGGAACAGAAAAACAGGTTAGACAGATATGAAGATATAGCTCATTGTCTACATGGTCTGCTGTTCTTATCGTATCGTATCTATCTATCTATCTATCTATCTATCTATCTATCTATCTATCTATCTATCTATCTATGTCTTCATATCTGTCTAACCTGTATATGTACCCATATTATTTTTTGTGTAAATTCGTAAAAATCTCTCGAAGTTTCTAATCTGTCTTAGACTTTTCCTAGACAACAGCTGTAACTCACACTATACTATTTATCTGTTTTACTGTTACATCCATTTACACAAACTTCTTAGGTATATTATGCGCTGTTTTTCTCTGTTTCTATTGTCCTAAATATATCCTGTGAGTGTTAAATTTTATAAGCCCTCTTTCTTCATCATGTACTCCATAAATGTCAAATGGAATATTGCTAACCTTAAAAGATGTTTGTCCTCTTATTCCCCCTCCCAGTCCCTATTTTGTCATACATTTACGTAAGCACGTTTGGTAAGTTACTCGATACGACACTCTACCCATCTTGCCTTTAGTAAAGTGATTTTCCAAGCGTAACTTAGATGTGGCACAAGGCCGAAAGTATGGGGTACTCAGGGAAGATCGAATTCACTACTCAGTCGTAATTGTTCTAGCGAGGCATGACCCTTCTTGCCTTCAGTATGTGCTATGAGTGACATAGTTTACATTTCTTTTATCACCTGTCCTAGAAATATCAACGACCTCTTTCTGATTTTCAGTATAAGTGTCCTTTTTGTCCCCATTGTCCTTAAAAGTTTGTCATAGAGCACATGTTCCGTCTATGGTATTTTCAGCATCCTTCTGTAGAATCGCTTTTCTGTTGCCTGAAGTTTCTTTTTCCTCTGCGAGGAAATTGTCTAGCATTTACTGTCATATTGGAGGACTGGTATTACATAATGTTATGGTCCGGTTCCTTGCACCACGGTGATAGTCCAAGGTAGAACCAATAAAGAAGAACTCGAACACGGGTATGGAATAACACAGATATACTACAAACAGGAATATATACAGAGAAGTAGAAGTGTTAGTATGAACAATCAGGTTGAGTAGAGAGAAACAATGTAGTCTCGACCAGTATCACTATTCTAATGTCTTGCAGTAATTGTCTGAACGCGACTCTGTTTCGGACTGCCTCTGACTCGACTCTTGACTCGACTTGAACTACTGACTCATTGACTCCTTGCCTATTCCTGAGGCGCAGTATTTATTAAGTATGGAATAGTCCATTATTATTATTATGGGTAAGATCCCAAAACATATAAGAACTGAGAACGCTTTGCGGAAGGTCTACGCGTTCAATACTTAAAATCTTCAAAACATCCATCAAATTGTCAGGTCACTGAACAGATACATTCCTTCATCGTGTTTTTTTTTTTTAACAAATCATTTGATCAGTACAAGTTAGCATAGTTTTCTGCATTAACTGATTTTTCGGATGGTAGTGATCAATACTATCCTTATCTCAAAACAAAAAAAAACAAATAAAAAACATGTGGCCATAGCATTTTCTGCCGATTTTGGGACCTTTATTTACATTGTCCGCGGAAAACCCAATGGCAATCTCTTCATGGACAGTTGTTTTGTCTTTGTATCAAAGTAGTATAACCATCAACTGAGACTAGGCGTTCAAAAATTTATGACTACATCAATAAAAATTCTGCAAAGTTAACTTGAAAGTTTCCACTCGATACCATATCTGGCCGGCATTCGTACATGTTGGCACCTAATTGGCTGACAGCTCAACTGCTCATGAATTATAAAGCGAACACCTTTCCTGAATATTTATAGTGTCCCGGTAATTTCTCTAGTCGAGAGTTTTTGCTTGATACATTCATGGATTTTCGTTGTTCCTGCCGGAACAGGAACTTCCTGATGGCCCGCTGTTAATTGAAAATTCCACTATCCGTTGACATGGTTCAGTCAATGAACCGAAACAAAATTAACACATTGATTGGCATATCACCATATATTAGCATTTCTGATTACGCCATGTCGCCAGATACTGAAAACGGTTACACTTAGATTTTAACTTGCTTCGCCAAATGTTGGAGACACTCTACGCATATTTGTATATAAAATAATCTCTGTGGCTTTCTGTGAAATTTTGGGATAATGTAGTTGGCATTATGATTATTTTAAATGTTACTTGAATCTCTATCTATAAAAGGCAAGATGGGTGTGTGTATGTGTGTGTGTAACGAATGCACAGCAGCAATTTTCGACGGATTTGCACCAAAATTTACATGCACATACTCCAAGTTGCATTTCCCAACTCCCATCGATAGTGGAAATAATCGATTTTTTCATGCTTCTACGGCAGTTTTCATGTAGTTTGCGGCCATTTTCTATTGGCCAGAGCGAGAGCATATAGCTAGCTGCCACGAATAGGTCGGAAGATTCTATTGGCCAGCGTGAGAGCCAACAGCTGTCTGACATGAATGTTAACTAGCATGCAAAAAAAATCGATAGCTGCATTCGTCACAAGTGGGAAAAGTTTAAATCTGCATGGCACTTTACTCCAATTGGCTCATTCTCTTGCTTAAACTCAACGTTGATTCTGACTCCGCAGAACTGGGTTGGGTGTAAAAAGTATTTGTTGTTAACATTCTTTTTTTCATTCGGTTTTTCCAGTTACGAGTCCTTTTTTTTTTAAAGCTGATCATTTTGTGTTCATTTTGTTTAGTTCGAAAATTTTAAAATCACTTAGCTGTGTATTTAAAACCCAGTGATTTTAAAAGTTACTCCAAAATTCGCTTGAGGATGAAATGGAACTAATGTCTTAAATTTAATTAAAAAATTAAATTCAGGGCTTTTTAAATTTCATTTTGAAACATGGTTAGAACAGTGTAGCGGAAAAAAACATATTTTAAATCAATTAATTATATATATATATATATATATATATATATATATATATATATATATATATATATAGTAATTTAATTATGAAAAATGAATTTTATTTTTAACCCGATATTTCTTATTACTCGAAACGTTATTTTTGTGGATACGCATATTTGAGTATACTTATGTTATATTTTGTTGATACACGTATTGTGGATACACCTGTTCGTTTGTTTTATTTATTTTAAATAATATGAATTATGTCTACCGGCCCGCGCATTCGAAAGATAATAAAAGAAAAATGTGCTTTCCGGAAGGGTTCGAATCTGTGTCTCCCTTTATAGGGGAAGGGGATCCGTCGCCTGATCCGGTGTATTTTAGACCGCTCGGCTAGAGAGAGCATCATAGCCCAGCAATTTTTAATACGATCTTTTTTTTTAAAGGATGCACACTCTCACGTTCAGACCTTCTCGAAAACCTATATCTACTCAAGATTCCATATATGTTAACATTTTTTTTAATTTCGTATCCGAAACGCAAAAAAGTAAGACGCCGTATTTTTGTTTATTTGTTAGAGTAAAAAACAGTCGATAGATAGTTAGCTAGCTAGCTAGCTAGAAAGATTTAATATGATAAAGAACCCACGAATTGACTCATAACATCACGCACTAGATAAAAGATTATTGGAACTATTTCTAATGACAAGGAAATTTTAAATAGAATTTCACATCATAAGTTTATTGCGAAAGCATTGCCTATATCGTTTGAATAATAGAGATTTATTGTGAAAATATTAACTTGTATAATAATATCTCGCGTCGTGTTTGTTCTTAAGCTTCTGTGCGAATATATTTGTAAATCAGTTGATGTTTTTCACTCTTTTTCCTTCCAGTTCGTTTCTCTCCCGCTGCGTAATTTCCTGTAGACAGGAGTCAATATTCATTAACCTGAAATTATTCTTAAAGAAAATAATTTAGCATGTTTTTTTGCGCATAACTGGGTAAAAAAATTACCTCCGCAGAAATTTTTGCTATTTTATCACAAGTATGTTTTTGATGTATGGATGGACGAGTGGCGTAACAGTCATCAGCACAGAAAGTACAGTCGGTGAACCGAGTTCGAATTTCGGTCTGGTTTTCTGCATTCACTTTCGCACTAATAATATTTTTGGAAAATAATGAATTTGAAAAAAGTTTAGAAAGTGAGCCTTGAAAATAGCCACCAGTCTGGATAAAAATATTTTAAAAGAAAAAACTTTGAATTCCAAACCGTATGTAACCCTGGAGAAGCACATAATATGCAGACATTGACAAGGGGATCGAGTTGATAATCTCGACTACAGCCGACCTACAACTACTTCGATGTATTATTAATTATTATTATTATTAATAATAATAATAATGATAAAGATAGGAAGAAAAAAAAGTTATGACAATTTACAGATAATAAAAATAGGGAATCTGTGTGGAGTAATGATCGCCTACGTCCTGAAGCATTATTAACATGACATTAAAATATTTAAGGCGAGTCAGTCAGTCGGTTAAGTGCAGTACGTGATACATGCTTGGACTCACTCTTTCGATTCATGAATGAGAAGTTTTTCCAGCAGTAGGTTGCCAGCTAAGACTATAGAACCCAGTATGTCATGCTATTCGTAAGACCACCACATGTACTGCAGCCAAAGTAGAAGTGGGTGTGTCTTGGGCAAGATAGCCTGACGGAGCCAACCCTCTCCAGACTGGTTTGAATTCAGATTTTTTTCTTTTCTTAGACCGGTTGCCATCCAAGACTATAGAACCCTGTCTGTCCTACTATTTACCCATAGCTGAAAGAAGAAGGTTTGCATTTATAGCTTTCCCAAGGATATTAGCACGTAAGTTGTTATGGGGTCCTCCCTTTTTTCATATAAATGGACTCGACCAGAGTGTTACTTGGACTGCTGCCGTTAACTACCCAGGGTTAGTCAGAATATAGATTTTTGAGCAGAGTTGGAGGTAGAGTAATAGTGTGAGGTAACCGCTTGGAGAAGTCAGTTATAAGCACGTAGACTCTAAGGAAGTCCTACTTCGAGACTGAGATATGTATACAATATATATATATATATATATATATATATATATATATATATATATTATTGCTACTAACCGCGTTCCTGGATTTACTAACAATATTACCCTTTGTATTATTGTGTAAATACATTTAATTTCTTAAATGTAATGAACTGGACTGGAATTCAAACTCGCTAATTCCACAGTTGGAGCCACAAATGTTTCGGGTACATAGAATTAAAATTGTTTAGAATAGATAGGACTCCACCTGATATAAATGTATTCGCAAAGTTTCGAAATCTGCATGTTTGCATGGATTTTGAATTAATTCATACCGTTATTATAATTCGATCCTCGGTAATCAATGGTACTAAAAAAACTAAGCTTGCAGAGGAACCTACAAAGCGACCCCTCGTCTATGAACAAATGAGAACAATAGGAAAAAATATGAATATTTACATGCAGAATAATGTTCTCATGTTTCTTTTTATCACAGCGCTCCGGTCGTTTTCCCGTCCGGCCTTCTTCAGATGAACCTTGTATTTAATCTGCAGAGGAAAGATTGTTTTTTGTTCTGCTGTAGAAAAACTTTAAATACTGTAAATAATAACTTATCGCAGGATTTCAGAAAGAAAATTGCAAAGCGTTATGTATCGAAAAATAACTCGCCACATTTTTCTTTACAAACTCTCCCTCACTGACTTCATATGAACTCATGTAAAAAAAAGTTCTCTGGATATCACGATGCTGGATTCAAAAGCCTGGGTCTTCGAAAGAAGTGCTGTCTGTCTCTCTCTCCCTCTCTTTCTCTCTCCCTCTCTCACTCACTATCTTTTCCTCTCTGCCCCTCTCTCTCCCCCTCTCTCTCATTCTCTCTCTCTCTCTCTCTCTCCCTCTCTCTCGCCCTCTCTTTTTCTCTCTCTCTCCCTGATCCATTTGGAACTCACTGCGTGAAAGAATTAAAGCAGTTTAATAAAATTAAAAATATTGAAAAAAGAAATCGTTGAAAAATTCATTACAATTTTAACTTTTTTTTTTATACTGAAAAATATTTTATCAAAATCCCTTAGTAAATCAAATAAATATTTGTCTGTTTGGAAAGTACTGTCTATTTATTGGACAGGGAATAAAACGAATTAAAATGCAGCAGGAATATTTATTGAAATAAAGAAAATATTGTTTTATTTGATTTATCCTACATGGAAGTATCAAACAAAAAAACAAAAAAAACAAAACAAACAAAAAACCAAAAAAAAAACAAGAAAAAAAACCCAAAAAAACCAAGAAACTCGATGGAGAAAAGAATGAAAATGATAAATAAATAAAAGAAGAATGGATAGCGGCAGATTTCTTTGAAATTACGAGTGCAGAATTTTGTCTTTTATGAAGTAACCCAAATTTTTTGAAAATTCAATAATTTTTTTAAAAATCATTTCTCCACAAACAAGGCGAATAATGTGATTACGATGCAATGGGCTACTTTGTGGGAAGGGTGAAGAAAAAAAAAGGATTGATTTCAGGAGATGGAACCGGAAACCCAATACTAAACAGGAAACAAAGAATAAACCTCTACACCTGTTCAAAAGACCGGGGAGTTGATTTTTGTACATATTTATAATCAAAGTGTTTATCGTTATTTTTTAAAGTGCTAGTATGAAACACAAATAAAAAAATAAACATAAAATATGAAAAAAATAATCATAACAATTTGTTTTAGAATATCTTATATAGTTTAGATATATGCAAAAATATCAATTAATTATTGAATTTAATAAATTTTAGGTTACTTTTTTAAGGAAGGATAAAAATGAGTACTTATAATCTCGGAAAATAATTGTTTTCGTGTGATTTGCGTTAATTAACCAATTAATGTTCCCTTCGCCCAAAAAATAAATTACAAATGAGTAAGCAGTTCGATCCTCACGAGGCATACTTTTGCCCTAATGTAACATCTAAGCTATTGGCTGTCGATGTATTTGTTGTAGAGAAATAATAGAGTTAGAAAAAACTATAAAATACTGTGTAATGACCTTTTAGTTTCTTTGAAATTGTGACCCCTGGAATAAGGCAAGGTCTGCTATGAGCCATAAATTAATGAGATGTTTCTACATTTCTACGATGACAACGACCACTATTAGGGATAAAGTTCACTGGTCAGCCAATCAGGCATTTAATGGCGTTGTCAAAATTTCTGATAAAAGAATAAAAAGCAACCAATTTTCTTATTACAGATTTGTACAGATGACCCCATTAACAAAATTGTATTTATTACAACATGTACATTTATTTGTAGAATACGTTTTGGAGTTAATGTTTGGTTGTCGACATGAATATTATTTTTCAGAGTCTGGAGTTTATTCGTGAGTTAAAATTATTGCATGCATAGAAAGGCCAACTTGCTGAAAAATATCCGTCCACTTCGACTGCAATTTGTTTTATAAAACCGGACAGAAAAGATTAGTGACAATATTCTTAGAGTTATCGCCCTTGATTTTTCGTGCAGCCATTAATGGTCAGACGGTTTAAAGTTAGGGAATCTTGTTCGACTTTTCTTTCACATTTTATTCTCTGTATAAAGCGAAGGGTGCTGTAAATCATAGACCACCGAAGTGTTGCTTTCTTTCTCTGACTGCTATTATAACAATTACGATAGAAATTCATTGGTTAGCGTATTGGGTTATCAAATAAGTTTGTTTTTTTTCCATTTATTTTAAACGGCATCAATAATTTTTTAAAAAAATAAGTCAATAATATAAAGCGTTAAACAAAAGTTATAGAGAAAGAATATAGCTAAAAATATAAAACAATACGGTATAAATATTTTTGGTGTTAATTCAAATAACATTTACCTGACAACCCAAGAAATAAGTGTTAATTTCAGGTTAGCTTTTCGAAGGACTTCTATAGGCACAC